ACCCGGTCACCAAGGACTCAGGGTACGAACAGGCCGATCAGGCCGCCCGCGCACTCTCTTCCCGGGCTATCTCCCTGTCTTTGGAAGCCTACTCGCAATCAGACAATTCGGCCCTTTCATTCAAAGATATTACCAATTACTACAAGGAGGAGCACCGGCGCTATCCAGACCCTTGTAAGGGACTGCATCGCGCTGACGAGCGCCTCCTTTTAAAACTGTTTACCAATACTGTACTGTGCCCGGCGGTGCTAAAACATTTCAATTCATCCTTTGATGGCACGTGCCAGTTCTGTGGTGAGGTGGCTGACACCTTTCACATCGTCTGGGCGTGCCAGTCTAATCCATCTATCCCCCCCAACCCCAATCCCACGAAAGAGGACTGGGAGGCGGCCCTGCTCGGCTGTCAAGACCTGAAGGCCCAAGAGGCTCTGGTTCAACGGGCGCGAGCGGCGTTGCTTGCCAATGGAGCCCCGGAATAGGGGTTCCACCTAGTGCTGTGAGGGTAGGAGGCCAATAAGGCCCCAACCCAATCACCTCTCTGTAACCATTTAATGGTTATTAAATGTTTTCACCACCACCACCACCACCGGAAATTGGCTCGCTTCGCCGCCCAAGCGGCCGGAAAACCACGCCGCGCAGCCGGCGCGCAAGAATCGCTCCGTGACCGATTTTCCCGCCACGCGAAACCGGATCCGGTTTCCGCTTCACAGCCTTGGCGGCGCTAGATCAAACCACGCGACCTAACCAGCTGGCTGTAGATCCATCATGGCGGCACAGGCGTCGGCGGTCGCTCGCATCGGCTCAAACCGCAAACTGCCCATGCAGCACGATGAAGCTTGATGACCTCAACGAGGACGCGTTCATGGAGAGCCTGACTTGGATTACGATCACCGTCAATTCTGGAACTGGACGGTGCAGCGGCAGCGAGTCAGCATGCCCCAACGTGTCTGGCGTTTGTGTACAGCCATCTGAATGCGCCGCCGCCGCTACCGATCCGTTCGCTCTTGTCGTTTCTGCTGGCTTATCTCCCAAAATAACGTTTGAAAAGGTGTGAGATGTTTCTTTTCACTACTTTGAGCGAATAACTAAAATTAGGCATGAACTTCAGTTCTCAAAAGCAGGTAAAATCGAAATAATTGTCAAGGTATCGACAGCAGCGGCGGCGGGATGGGGCAGAGCGAATGTGAAAATCTTCGACCCGCGTGGCTGTGGTTTTTGGGCTGCTCTGGTGTTTTCGCTTCTTTTCACTTCTCAAGTGTGAATGCGCCTCAAGAGTATACGGCAAGACCGGTGACTGACGTGGTAACGCCGGCGTGACGCGACGAAACGAACGTCGGCGTGCACGCGCGCCATGTCACGTCGAAGTGTATTGCCGGCTTGACTGTGGCATGTAGTCATGCTTTCACATGACACGCATCTCATGATTATCATGTTTGTACCAGTCACATACCTTCGTCATCCATTGACGTCACGTAATACCAAATTTTGCATATGTGAAGCTAGAAATACGGCCGCGATCACATCATGAGTGTGGCAATAGTCCTCGAGTCGCAAAAGATGGCCCATTGATTTGGTTGCTGCCGAAGAATGTACTTGGCTGCACTATGAAGTTCTGCGAGTTCTGCTGCTGTCGACGTCGTGGTGTGAGAGAACATGTATTGAAGCAACACATTACCAGATACAACAACCACTGCTCCTGTGGAGCTGGTGGAATTGGTGGAGCCATCGGTGTAAACGTGTATGCGGTCAAAGAACGTTTCGTCTAACGGACGCAAAGTCAATTGCTTCAGGGTTGGCGGTGACATGCGTGCCTTCTTAACAATTCCAGGAACCGATAAGCGCAAGTAAGGCTGACGGAGAGTCCATAACGCAGATGCTGGACGCATTGCAGGTTTGAAGCCAGGCGGTAATATGTCCTGGTGTTTCCTCACAATACCGCAGAACGAATCATGGGGCCTCCGCGCTGCCAAACACGCTAAATGATGTGACGGAAGTCGTGATAAATGCCGAATGTGCGCTCTCAGCTTCTCGACAATGATATACGTTGTGACCGGCTGTTCTTGTGCGATAACAATAGTTGCCACTGTCGATGAGCATCTTGGCAATCCAAAATATATCCTAAGTGCTTGGAGTTCTACGCTCTGTAGTGCACGGATGTTAGTCTTGAACGTATTGAACACGGCAGGAAGGCTGTACCAGAGAAGTCCGAGAAAGATGGCCGTATAAAGCTGCAGCATGAAATAAGTGCACAGAGGGGCACCATACTTTTCCGGCAACGAACTTGAATACACTCTCTGTGCCAATGAGCTTTTACGTCAGGTATGCGACATGTGGACTCCAGGTTAGAACCAATGTAATGTAAATAAGAGCAAAGAAAAGTGTGTGACAAAATAACTTGGCGTGAGCAGGAATCGAACCTATGACCTCCAAATAGCATCAAACGTGTTATTCGGAGGTTGTAGGTTCGATTCCTGCTCACAACAAGTTATTTTTTCACCCACTTTTCTTTGTTCTTATTTACATTACATTGGTTCTGATAACTTCCCTTATACATTCCTTGGCATTATTGTCTATTAGATCCGGCGTGACGCGTCGGATCTAATATATATATATATATATATATATATATATATATATATATATATATATATATATATATATATATATATATATATATATATTAACCATCTGTGGCAGCATTTCGGTGAGCCCCACCAGGACCAGGTTGAAGAGAGTCAGACTCAGAACGTTACCTCGTGGTGGCACCTTACTACTCGTGAAATGCTTATTTGTAGGCCCATCTTCAGTTAGAACAAACATGGACCATGAAACATGTATTTGTGAGGTAGCTTCTTACCCATCGAAAGACATGACCTCCAAGTTCAGTTGCTTAAAGAGCATTGAGAACAGCCTCATGGGTCACGTTGTCATAGGCCCCTTTCATGTCTAAGAAAACACCTACCGACCGCCGCTTTTTAGCTTTCTGTTGCTGAACAGCTAGAGGTCACTAAGTCAATGACGCTATCGATTGAAGACCGAAAGCTAGCCATAGCATCAGGATAGATGATATAATAATGTTCCAGCTACCATTCCTTGCGTGTAAGCAGCAGCATCTCCAAGATCTTGCCGACGCAGCTTGCTAGGGCTATAGGACGGTATTATGCCAGACCTAATATAGATTTCCCGGGCTTCAACAAAGGCAACAGGCGACTGCACTTCCACTCATTAGGCATTATACCATAGTGCCAAGACTTACTGAGAGTGTCCAGGAGACAGCGTTGTGCCGACTGTTGTGAAGCCGCCATACTAGAAAACGGGAAAGGCTGCGAGAAGAGCCCGAAGTGATGGAAGCCTTAAGCCAACGACGACGCGCCCGTCGGTCTCTGAGAGGTGCGAATGCTCAGTTCTAGAGTTTGGGCATCCGTGTCATGACTAATCTATGTAATTACTTACAACGCAACACCAGAAAAAATACAGGACAGGGAAGGAGCAAAAGAGAAAGAAAAGACGGCGCTGCTCCTTCCCTGTCCTGTATTTTTTCTGATGTTGCGCTGTAAGTTCACGATGGATCCTAACCAACTGGCCCAACTAACCGTCTTACTAACCTATGTAAAGGCTAGCAACAACGTAGAAGCAATCAGATTAGACTTCAGAATATTAAAGTATCGCTGTTTCAAGTCTTGCGCGCCTGAGTGAAAGGTTACATTTACTTAGGCAAGTCTGAATGCTGGGATAGCTCCACGGGCATTAGTGCAGCGAATATGTGGTATCCCGCAAAAAAAATAAAAAAATGGAACAGCATTACTAGTATCTCGTATCTAACTTCATTCACAAAAAAAAACAGCTACACGTTTAAATATACGTGTTATCGCTCAGAAACATATTTGCTCAGCAAGGGGAGGACATGCGGAAACGGGAATCCGATTACCATGATCAGTATTTAATATAATCGACGTAAGCGAATAGCTTACAACAATTGCTAGACAGAATCACAGGTGTAGTTTTAATTCATATGTACGTATTAATTTCGCCTGAAGGACTGGGCCTCCACCAACTTACGTGCAAACACTCCCTTGCTTTTTCCACGTAAGCTGAAGGAGTCTTCCGATTTACTGTTTTTCCTAGAACACTCAATATCGGGCCAGTCGCATCGTACCTTCAAATGATGAAACAAAGAATAAAAGTTGAGAATAGTGTCGTAGAGCGAAGCTATGACGGAAGTAGGAGGACAAGAACAACAAGAGAGAAGGCAGGAAGGTTAACCAGGCGTATGCCCGGTTCGCTACCCTCCGCTGGGGGAATGGGAAGGTGGGATATAGATGAAAGAGAGATAAGACAGAAGAGAAAGAGAAAAAAAAGGATTGTCAATCAATGGGCTGACGCGTATGCAGCGGTGGCGCTACACAAAAATTAAAGGTGTTCACATAAGCCTGTAGTCCTCAAAAAGCACAAGACGGTTTTGACTTCCTGTTGAGGTGGTTGTGATGGTGATGGTAAAAACCTCCATTTAACAAAAACAAACAAACAGGAGGAATGCAGCGACCGCCTTATAAGAGGACGGCGCCGATAACGAGTAGGAGGGGATCCCTAGTACGGGACCCCATTGGTGTCGGCTGCTGCCTCGGCTCGTCGAACCAAGGCCTTTTAGGCCTGAAGGTTAGAGCATCCAAGCAGGGTCACCTCCCACTCCTCCCGGGTAGGATTGGGTACAGGGGGTACAGCAGCGTTGCACGCAGGCCCACATCATGTGGTAGATGTCCGAAGACGCCTCCCCACAGCGTGAGCAGTTGCCGTAAATATCCCTGCCATGCCAGAGCAGGGATAAATAAATGATGCAAGAAACCAAACGCCGCACGTCTTCCTACAAGTGGTGACCCAAACTTCGAGAGGCAACGCGCACCTACTCGTCCTTTTGCCAACGAACCGAGCGTCAAGGCCAACTCTGCTTCTTCAGCCCCGTTCATTTGGGATGCATAGACACCACACCCAACAGCGACGCCATGCCGAATTCCACGGTACCTGACCCTGACGTCGCTACCCTCAGGCTCCCGGAGTTTTGGCAGGTGGACTCTGAACTCTGGTTTCTCAGCGTCGAGCCACTCTTCCGAAGACACAGGGTAACTTCGCAAACAGCGAGGTACGATTACGTAATCGGCGCTTTACCGTCCGCTGTTGTCATCATCGTAAGAGACATTCTGAGTTCTCCACCTCCTGACAATCCCTGCGACACCCTTAAAAAGGAGCTCATACGCCGGACAACTGAGTCGGAACAGCGTAGGCTGCAGCAGCTACTCACCTTTAAAGAACTCGGTGATCAAACTCCTACGGAGCTTCTGCGTCGCATGCGACACCTGTATGGGGCCCATTCTGCTGCATTGGACGCATCCATCCTATGCCAACTCTTCGTACAGAGACTGCCACAACAGGTGCGAATGATTTTTAGCGTAACGTCTACAGGAACCCCCAACTCACTAGCGCGGATGGCCGACAAGATTATGGATATCGGTGCGCCGTCCATATCTGCGATCGAAAAACCACGTGAATTTAACCTCTGTGCACCGGTCCACGACGACCACTTGGACCGCCTTCTTCAAGCTAACGAGGAGCTCAAGCGCAAGGTGGATCAGTTAGCCACTGAACTGAGTGCGCTCAAAGTAGACCACCGCCCCAACGCCTTACGACAACGGCGCCAATGCCGCGAAAGATCGCCAAGTCTGCCTCTCGGTGTCTGCTGGTACCACCACCAATACGGAGCTCGAGCTCGTCAGTGCAAACAGCCATGCCAGTTTGCGGGAAAGGCACGGGCCGCGCACTGACGGCGGCCAGTGTTTCAGGCCCGACATACAGCCGCCTATTCCACGTCATGGACCACGTCACCAAAGTGCGGTACTTCATAGACACATGTGCCGAAGTGTGTGTTATTCCTCCTACGTTGGAGGACCGCCGACGACGCCAGACCTCGCTGCCTGTCACCGTGGTCAATGGTTCGACCATACGGACCTACGGACAGAGGTCTGTCACGCTTGACATTGGCGTGAGACGCAAGTTTCAGTGGATCTTCTTAATCGCCGACGTGCGTGTACCCATCATCGGTGCGGATTTTCTTTAGCATTTAAGCTTGTGGTAGCCTACGACATAGCCGTCTCGTGAATTCTTAGACCCTCCTCATATTTCAGGACGTGACATCAAATTTGCCACCCTTGTGTCTCGTACAAGGTCATGCCATTGTCTCCCCGCCGTGGTCTATGCTTCTGCAAGAATTTTCGGACCTCTTTCGTACTCCATCTCTTGAAGACCCAATACGCCACAATGTCACTCATCACATAGCGACAGTAGGATCGCCGGTGTTTGCACGTGCTCGTCATCTCGCTCCTGACCACTACAAAATTGCATGCCGAGAATTCGAGCTCATGCTTTAACTCGGATGCATCCGCCCCTCTTCCGGTGCCTGGACGTCCCCGCTACACATGGTTTCCAAGCCCTCAGGCGACTGGAGACCATGCGGCGACTACCGCGCCCTCAAAAAGGTGACGGTACCGGCCCGCTATTCGATACCGCACATCCACGACTTCACGGCATTCCTGCATGGTTCCACCGTATTCAGCCAAATCGACTTAGTAAAAGCATACCACCAGATACTTGTCGAGCCTTCCGACGTACCGAAGACTGCCATAATAACACCTTTTGGGATGTTTGAATACACTCGTATGCCCTTCGGTCTACGAAACGCCGCACAAACCTTTCAACTGTTCGTGGATCATATACTTCGTGGTTTGACCCGCTGTTTCACGTACATCGACGACATCCCTGCCTACAGCACCACTGCAGAAGATCATGAATTTCACCTGCGTCAGGTTTTCACATGCCTCCGCAAATAGAACTAGTCGTCAATGGACCAAAGAGCGAGTTCGGCGTTTCCTCACTGAACTTTCTTGGTCATCACGTATATTCGCGTGGGATCTCTCCACGGGCCGCGCGTGTTGAAGCTATATTGCAGTTTCCACGACCAACAACTACGAAGAAACTACATGAATTCCTTGGGCTTGCCAACTACTACCGGCGGTTTATTCCTCATTGTGCTGTCATTTTGCAACCACTCCATGCACTTCTATCCGGTCAAACGAAGCCCAACGCTTCTATCTCCTGGACGGGCGATGCAGAAACAGCTTTCAGTTCCATCAAGGAAGCTCTGGCTAACGAAACGCTCTTCACGCATCCAAAGAGTGACGCCATCACGTCACTCACAGTGGACGCTTTGGACGTTGCCACAGGAGCAGTCCTGCAGCAGTTGGTCGACGGAGTTTGGCAGCTGGTCACTTTCTTCTCACGGAAGCTCTCACAGACCAAGCGTCGTTATAGCACATTTGGTGGCGAACAGCTCGCGGCCTATTTGGCTGTCAAGCACTTTCGACACTTTCTAGAAGGTCGACAGTTCCATATCCTCACCGACCACAAGCCGCTTACCTGCCAATCGACCGCTACCAACTCTGCCCACACCCCAAGTGAGATCCACTAGCTTGCCTACATATCGGAGTTACCGAGTGATATCAGGCACATCAGTGGCAAAGGCAACCCTGTGCTGACGCGCTTTCCCGAATAGAAATAAATGCAGCTATAAATGAGCGCCCACCAGTCAATTTCGCAGCCATGGCTACTGCACAGCAGGACGACAGCGAGCTTCAGGTGTTGAGACTCCAAAAAAACTTCCTAAAGCTCGAAAATGTCCGACTTCCAGGCACCGCGATTCCCCTCGCTATCGACACCTCTACCGGTTGTCATCTCCCTTACGTTCCAGCATCATTTCGCCGCACAGTCTTCGACGCCTTGCATTCCTAGTCACACCCCGGTATACGTGTGACTCAGCGCCTCATCACAGGGTGATATCTATGGCCTCGAATGAACATCGACGTCCGCCACTGGACACGTACTCGCCTCAAGTGCCTGCTAACCAAAGTCCAGCGCAACACGGTCAGCCCACTGGGTACCTTCACGCCTCCTGACTCGCGGTTCAGTCACGTGCACCTGGACCTCGTAGGCCATTTGCCCCCATCGCAAAACAGCCGGTATATGCTAACTTTCGTAGACTGGTTCACGCGGTGGCCTGAGGCACTACCTATCAACGAAACCACGGCAGAGTCATTCGCCCGCGGACTCATCACGATATGGATAAGCCACTATGGAATTCCCAAGACCATCACGATGGATCGAGGTCATCAATTTGACTTCGCGCTCTTCCGCGCCTTGTCCCGAATGCTTGGTGTCAACCACATCAAGACGACGGTCTACCACCCGATTTCGAATGACATGGTTGAGAGATTTCACCGCCAACTCAAAACTTCGCTCATGGCCTCGCAATCATTGATACCTTGGACGGAGAGACTACCACTCGTCCTCCTCACCACGCGCAGCACGATATGCACGGAAGCGTCCTGCTCCTCAGCTGAGCGCGTATTTGGCATTACCCTTAGGCTTCCTGGACAGTTTTTTGACACAACCCCGGTATCAACATTGGATGTAGCTGATTATGCCAGTCGCCTCAGGAATGCCATGAGAGATGTGTCCCCTATTCCTGCACGTCAACACTCACGCCCAAGTTTCGCCAGTCGTGCGCTCCGCTATGGCACCCACGTCTTCGTATGACATGACGCAATCAGACCACCACTGCAACCTCCTTACGACGTACTTATTAGGGTAGTCAAGCGTTGCCCGAAGCATTTCGTTCTGTTGCCTAATGGACGCGAACACTGTGTCTCGAATGAGCGCATAAAGCTGGCTTTCCTCGACACTGACGCCGTCCTCGAAGTCTGCAAGCCATCAGCGAAAAAAAAAAACAGACGAACGCGCTTCGCAATAGCAGAACCTACCACCTGCTTTATAGGGTTTGCTCCTGCGCGCACGGGCTACCTCGCTAGAGAGGGTGGGGGAGCTATGGCAAGCCGTCAGCGTCTCAGACAAGACGAAGAAGTTGCCGTAGCTGCTCCGCGTGTTCGAGCCAGCACGAGACAAGAAGACGCCAGCAAGAACGACAGTGTCTGTGAGCGTCCATGCCAGAGCAGGGATAAATAAATGATGTAGGAAACCAAACGCCACACGTCTTCCTGCAAGTCCACAATTTCGCGGAATGAATACATCAGATTGAATTCAAGGTCGTCCTGTTCGGGGGAGGTGAGTGGGATTGCCCGGTGAGAGAGCGCGCAGGCGGCGGCGTCGGCTGCCTCATTCTTTTCGAGTCCCATGGGAGTAGGTGTCCAGACTATACGGCGGGGTGCAGGGATTCCCTGATAGTCCGAACGTTGCAATAAGCGCTAGGCCAGGCATGCGACACGGCCGTTCACGATGTTTCGACAGGCCCCTCGAGAGTCGGAGATTATGATTTGAGGCCTAGGGTGACAAGCGGCCGATGCAATGGTGACTTTCTCCGTATGGATTATGTTCCGGGCTTGAAACGTGAGCCCGTAAACTGTTTAGTTCTCGTGTACGACAGTGGTCTTGTACCAGCCCCCAGGGTGCGGGTCGGAGGCGTCCACGTATAACACGCCGAGTTTTGATCCACAATAGCGGGCCAGGGCTTCCGCCCGCGCCAGGCGCTGGCCATTATGGTCTTCTCTTGTCATATTGTTTGGAAGAGGACGCACTTGCAGGGCGCATCTCCACTCGAAGGGGAGTTGAACGCGATCTTCCGTGATGTGAATGTGTTGTATGTGTCGGACTAATAGGCGGCACCCCACTGCCGCCTGTGAAAGTCGATTGAACTGATTTGTGAGGTGGGCCTCTCGAAGCTTCCGAAACGTATTCACCATGCCCAGGCCTAGAAGGCGCTGGTTAGAGGTGTTCATGGGGAGGTCGAGAGCTCGTTTTACAATTTTGCGAAGGATGACTTCAAGTAAATCCTCGTCTTGCTTCCGCTGGGGGAGGTATGGTGTAGAATACAAGATTCTACAGGTTACAAATGCATGTGGCAGCCGCTAGGTATCTCTGCACAGTAGTCTCCCGCGTTTATTAGAGACCCGCAGGAGTATGCAGCCCAGCTGGTCACCTACCTTCCGAAGTTTGGCCAATGTGGTGTCTGGCCGTCTGTTTTGATTAATAAAGAGCCCCAGTACACGGACTTCTTTTTGTTCAGAGATTAGACCTGACTCCAGTGAGAGTTCAATTTCGGCTGTGCACTTGGGTAAGGGGCGTATATGCACGAACTCTGATTTGGATGGCGAACATTGATGGTCACACAGGTGGGCATAGCGGTCGACTATGCTTGCGGCTTGCTGCAGGTTCGCTTCACTATCTCCGAGTGCACCTTACGTGGCCCAGATGGTGATGTCATCAGCATACAACGTATGTTGTATACCGGGAAAATCGGCCAGCTGAGCCGGCAGGTGCATCATGACCAGATGAATAATAAAGGCGACAGCACCGCACCATGTGATGTACCTCTAGTTCCTAAGGGGAAAGGGCCATGTTCCTTGTCCTGTATGCGAATGTAGTCTGTCCTTTAAAAACTGTCGAATGTATTTGAATGCTCTCAAGCAACAGCCAGTTTGTGAGCCTTTTGAGCCGACGAAAGTCTAGGACGGTGTTCCAGTAGCATGGCCGATCGTCCAATTGTAGCAATGCGTCCGAAAGCTTCTGTCTTTCAGAGGCAAATCGAGGGCAACGGCATAGCAGATGGTCGATGTCTTCTTCGGTGCAGCAGACGTCGCATTCCGCATTGTCGGTCAATCCGATGAGGGTTCTATATGCTTTTGTGAAGCCAACCCTCAACTAAAGGCGACAAAGAAGTGAAGCTTCACGTCGACGAAGTCCGGATGGAGGTCGAAGT